TCGGAGCGCTTCCGAGGAGAGGCTGGGGGGAGGAAGGGGCCTCTTGCCCCCCAGCGCCGAAGGCAGCCGAAATCTCCCTTCCCCCTCCCCTCTCCCTTTGCCCCCCTGCCCGGCAAGGCTGGCGAGCGTCTGCCTGGCGACGGTTTCCCTGGGCAGCAGCGCCCATCCCGCCGGCTCCTCCCCACAACACATACAAAACCCGGCCCAGCCGCGGCTCCCGCCAGCCGCTCCGCAGATCATGGCCCCGCCGGCGGCGGCGGCGGCGGCGTTTGCCCCCCAACTCGGCCAGGACCTGATGACCCCGGAGCCCCACTTCCTTCCTGGGTAAGAGCCGGCCCGAGGCCCCCGCTGCCCCCAACAGCCCCCCGGCCTGGCTTTGGCGGCGCGTCGGGGCAGAGGTGGACGAGCGCCCGGCAGGCAGGCAGGCCGGCCGGCCGGCCCTGGAGGGCATCTCGCCCAGGGCGCACCAACAGCGCCCACGCCGCCCACCGGCTGCCGGCGCTGCGTAGCCACCGGGGGGGGGGGGGGAGTAGATTCCTCGCGTGTCCCGAGCGGCGGCGGGGCTGGGCCGGCCGGGAGGAGGGCGCCGCGAAGGCGCTGGGAGGCGGCGGGGCCCCGGCAACACCTTCCGTCCGGAGCCTCGCCAAGAGCCCGGGCCAAGCTACAGGCAACGGCGGCCGGGCTCTGCGCTCCGGCCCTCGGGCAAGTTCAGCCGGGCCGGTATGAGGCCGGGCGCTGAGCTTGGCGGGGCTGAGCCGGGAGGGCTGACGGCGGCTTTGGGGGTCGGGCGGGGTCTCCCGCTCCTGTCCTTGCAGCTACGGCGGCTACTGTCCCCGCTACAAGTTCACCCTGGGCCAGACTTACGGGAAGCTCACGTGGCAGCTGCTGGCCGCCCCCAGCCGCTCTGGCCGGCTGCTCCTGCAGCCCAACTGCGCCCCCTGCGCCCCGAAGGAGCGCCCGGGGCTCGGCCGGAGGGCCCGGGGCAAAGGCTGCAGCGGGGTCCCGGGCTATACCGGTAAGTGGTGCTGGGAGGTGGGCTCCCCCCCCCCACCGCTGAGAGGGCCAGGCGGGTCAACGGAAGAAAAGGCATCCCTCGGCCCCTTGCAGGCGGGGGAGGGGGCTGGACTCAGCAAAGCAAAGCAAAGCGGGGAGGGGAAGGTTGTGTTGGGGCTCCTAGTGGGGGGCTTGCCCAGACACACCCTCCCCCCACCATTCGAGCACCCCTTAGCGACCCCTTGCAGGCCGGGCCAGAGCTCCCAGCGCCAGCAAGCCAGTCCTCCCTCCATCTCGGAGGGAGGGAAAGGGGCACCAGCTGTGCCCCATGGTTGTGGCGCTGCCCAGAGCCGAGAACCCTGGTACCAATTCCTAGCTGAGCCCAGAGCCTTCCTGGGGCCCCACGGCACCTCCTTCCAGCTCTCCCCTGTCTCCTGGCAGGATTCGTCCCCAGGGCCCAGCACCACTTTGCCAAGACCTATGGAGAAATCTGCAGGCAGGCCTGGCTGGAGTTTGGGCCCCAGCAGGAGCCGGGGGCCCTTGGCCGGGGCCAGGCCGGGGAGGGGACCGAAGCCCCCCAGCTGGAAAATGGAGTAAGTGGCAGGCAGGGCGGCTGGGAGCCATGGGGTGAGGGCAGGGCTGGGGGCTGGGGAAGGGCTGGATCTGCCCTTTCCGGAGGAGCCATGGGGCAGACAGAGAGGCCAAAAGGGGCACAGCCTGAGCCCTGGTGCTCCCCCCTCCAGCTTGTGCAAGTGGGGGCCTCCCCCTCCTCGGCATCCCAGCACAGAGGCTCCCCAGCTGGGCCATGGCTTGAGGAGGGGGCACAGGGGCGGGGCTAGAGTGTTCCCCTATTATAGCATCCCAGGATGGGTCGAAAGCCCCCTCCCTGGTGCCCTGGGCATGGGTCTCCCCCGCAACACGAATGAGAAGCGAAGGGGACAAGCGCCTTGGAAGCCTCCAAGAGACCTCTGGGAGGAGCCACCTCCGATCTCGCAGGCAGGCAGGCAGGCAGGCAGTGTGTGTGGCCACAGGGGGTGGGGGGACCCCTCGTGGGGGGGGGGGGGGCTGCCCTTTCTGCCAGATGCTGCTTCAGTGAGAGGAGTGGCCAGAGGCCTCCAGGGACTCACGGCTGATTCTGCTGTGCTCCTAGCCTCGCCCTGCCCTGCTCACGGTTGGCACGGATCCTGCTGCTGCTGCTGCCCCCCTGGCTTTCGGGGCCCCAGGCAGGCCCCCTGCGTGGGAGAGGACCTTCCTTCCAGGTCAGGCTCCAGAGGAGGAGGGGAGGAGGGAGCACGCGTGTCCCAGAGGGCGAGGGGGGGCTCCCTTGGTCTCGCAGGCGAGAGGCTGAAATGCCGCTTCCCACCAGCCCGAAAGAGACCCGTATCTGTGCCCCTTCGGGCCCCCCAGCCTCTTCCTTGCTGCCCCAGAGAGCCAAGGCCTGCTTGGCACGGAGCCCCGAGTCTCTTTGGGGGCTTTCAGGGCCCTGCTTGCTAGGGCCGAGGGCCCAGGGGGACGCCAGGGTTTGTGGCTCTGCAGGCAGGGAAGGCAAAGGTGGCCTGGGAGCCGAGGGGCTTGCCCAGGAGAGAGACCCCAGGGGAGGGAGAGGGAATCCGGAGCCCCCGTTGCTTCAGAGGCCACGTGTGGAAGTGCGCTAGTGGCCTCCTGAGCAAGAGGGCTTCTGCTTACCCTGGACAATTGAGGGTCCAGCTGTGGGGGGGCTCAAAACCGAGCGGGACTCCCCGGCCTGGGGGGGAGGTGACCCCTGGCCCCGGCAGCTTCAGAAAGACCCGACTGGCTGGAGCCATCCCCAATCCCCGCCGGGGCTGGGCTCCCTCGCAGGAGGGAGGGGCCTGCGGCTTAAGCTCCCCGTCTCCGTCCCGCAGGCTTCACCGGCTTTGTGCCTCGGCTCCAGTTCCTGATTGGAGGAAGCTTCCCCGTTCTGGCCCACCGGGCCATGCTGGAGTTTGATGAGATGCTGGCCAAAACCGGGCGGGACTCTTCCCAGAGTGGGGATCCCCTCCCGCCCCTGGCCAAGACGTACCCCACAGACAGGGGCCTCCTGCCCCACTACAGAGGCTACGTGCCAGGTGAGTCCCACTTACGCCCACCCCCTCTGTTCCTTGGATGACACCTCCCCACCACGCCCGGCACGGCCCCCCGGCCTCTTTCACACGGCTCCAGGCAACTCAGCCTCCTACCAGGGGAGCACCCAGCACCCGAGGGGAGGGGGGTTGCTCCTCCTTGTGCCTCTGATGCCAGACACGGGAACCGCCAGGGGTGGCAAGCGTTCACAGTCCAGCTGCCCATCGCCCGCTCCGGGCCCTGAAGGGAAGCCACAACCGGCCAGGCAGAACCTCCAAGGCTTGGCCAGCAGCCTCGGGGCCCTTGTGAGGCCCTGGGAGAAGATTCCTGAGAAAAAGGATCCAAACCCACCTTTGCAGAGATTCCTGCCAGCCCAGTGGCAGAGGGTGCCAGGGCTTCTCTGGCAGGGTGCCCTGAGCTGCAGGCAGGCACCAAACAGGCAGTCGGGCATTGATGGCATGAACTGCAGCTGTGGATTTGCCCACGACGGTTGCTCCTTCCCTCCTCTCTCGCTCTCTGAACCCAGGTTACAAGTTCCAATTCGGCCACACCTACGGCCACCTCACCCGTGACGCCCTGGGCCGAACCACCTTGGAGAAGCAGGTGCTGGACGTCACACAGTAGGGGGATTCGTGGCTCCCTCGCAAGCACCCTCTCAGAGCCCACTGCGCCATCCTGCGTGGGCTGTGGCCGCGTAAGACAGGCTGCGGGGCTGCTGGTGCCAGAGGCTCCCCAGATTTCTGGGGCTCTTGAGCTGCCCGTCTCCGGATCCATGGCACTCCGAAAGGCACCGAGTTCCCGGGAGCCCCGTTTTCCTAGCTGGGAGGCCATTCCCCTGGGAGGGGAGGGGCTGCGGCTGCTTCTGAGCCCCTTGGCAGGAAGCAGAAGGGAACCTCTGGGGTCCCGGCGGGTGTTCACTCTACACAGGAGGTGGAAGTGCTTCAGTGGAGGCCAGCTGTGCCCCCTCACCACGCGATATCTTCATCTGCCTTCTCTGCCCTCAGTGGCGCCTGGATCCCCCCCGACACCCTGTGGCGCAAAGGACCTTTCACCAGCCAGGTTCAGGCCCTGGCAAGAGCCCCCTCCCCAGGGTTAACCCGTGCCTTGGTGACCGCCCTCCGTTATGGGCCCCCCTGTGGCTGCTGCATTGGGGTGCTGCGGGAGGGAGGAGGCGTGTCCGAGGCGGGGCCACCCCTGGGCTTCCCCTGGCAGCACAGCTCCCCACCCTGGGGACGGCCGTGCCTTCAGCCCGGAGGGCTTGCAGGGAGGACCCAATGCCAGGGCAAGGTGACCTTTGGCTTCCAGGCTCTAAGCCAGAACGGTGGCACAAGACACAAGCCAGCCCCCACTCGCAAATTACATCATCGCAACCTGTGGAGCTAAGAGCGTGCCACCCGAGTGCCCAGGATCAGAGGCCCAGACGCCCCTCCCTGTGGGCCCATGGCCAGTTCTCTGCCGGCTGACCCCTGGCAACTTTGCCGTGCCTCCTGCTTTGCCCGAAGGGAGCTTCCTCTGGAGCAGACCCCTTTGCAGCAGGGGACTCCAATGGTGGCACCTTGACTTCAACTCCCAGAGCTCCTCAGCCGGCCGGGGTGGTGGGCACCAAGGGGGAAAGGGGGGAGCTGCTCTTCAGCCGGGCTTGGGTGAGGGGTAGAAAGGCCTCTCCCAACCTCAGAAATAAGCCAAGTCCAGCTGGAGGCTCCCATGCCCAGGCAGCCCTTAGTTCAGGGCACATTCCAAGAGCCTGAAAAAGGAGTGGATTCAGTGGCCAAGGTGGGCACCCCTATTGGGCAGGGATTCTGCTGGCATTAGATCAAGACCCCTCCCCCCTCGGTCCATTTTCCGGATGGTAGCTGGCCACAGCACATTCGGGGCCCGTGAAGACCGGCCTGCCTGCCTTGCGGTTCCTCGAAGGACCCCTCAAAAGGACCACCAGCCCAGCCAGCTCCTTCTGAACGACGCATCAAGACAGCTCAAATTGTGTAGGTGGGAGGGGTCCTAGGGGTGGGGGGGGAAATCATCAGGCTGCCGAGGGAGCTCGTAATCAGCACCTTTTTTATTAATACGTGTCATAAATAAAGAAATAAATAAAGGCGAGACACCCTGTTCTAACGCCGGAAGTATAAATTAAAGATGGCGCCACCCTCACACCCCTGGCAGGACCGACTCCTGCATTCACACCAGGTCCTTCGAGGGGGCGGGGCGGGCAGGCGAGAGCCCCACCCAGCCCAGCCCCAAATACTGACTGGCACTGCCCTCTGGCTGGGGGGGGGCAGAATACAACCCAGGCTCTGACCCCTCCCCCACAAAAGACACCCTCTCCCCATCGAGTGGCGTGAGGTCCCACCGACCCCCGCTGGCCTGTGCCGTGGGGGTCCTTCTGGCTTCAAAGCGTCCACCCTCGGTGGGACCGCTGGCGGGACAGCTGCTCCTGCAGAGGCCGGCTGCGACTGGCTCCACCTGCCTGCATGCAGAGAGGCCGAGCTGCTCCCACCGGCGCCCCCCCTCCCCCCTCCCCCTGCCCAGCATTAATACAGGTTAGCACACAGTCCCCCAAGTCTGGAGCAGGCCTTCCGGGGCCCGGGTGGCCCTTCAGAGGGGCTCTACTTCTGTTCGGACGAGGCGTGGGGGCCACGGGGAAGAGGAAGGGGGGAGGCGCATGCACAGGAACGTTTGGCCACCGGAGGCCCCGCAGAGAGGAGCAGCCCCCCCCTCCTGCCCAGGGCAGGCAAGAGAAGCCGGGCCCTTGGCTGAGTCTTGGCGAGGGGCCTGTGGGCCGGCACGGCTCTGGGCACCACCAGGGATCACCTGCCCATCAATAATCAGCATCCTCCAGGTGGGTGACGTACATGATGGGCACCAGCCCGGCCTCGGCTCCCTCCCGGCGGCTGCAGCGGAGCCAGTCGGCATCCACCCTGCTCAGCACCCGCAGGATGTCTCCCCTCTTGAAGCTCAGTTGCCCGGCCTCGGTGGCAATGTGGTGGCAGAGGGCTTTCACCGCCCTGGGGGAAGAGAGCCTGCCGTAAGGGCTGTTCCCCTCCCGGCCCTGGAGAGGCACCACCGGCCTTCCCACTCCGGTTTCCCCCAAAGCTTTTACTGCATAGCTGCCCCCAACCATCAGGGCTCTTGCTGACTGCAGGGGGGGGGCAGCTGCGTCCCCCCACCCCAGCCGGGCTAAAGGCAGAAGGTCTCTTCCTCCAAGGGCCGGCTGCCCAGGCAGCCCTCCCTGAAAGTGCCTGCCAGCCAGCCGTGCCCGCCCTCTTCAGTCAGGATGGGGTGCCAGAAGCCATGCCAGCCAAGCGCCAGGCTTCGGAGAGGCTGGCTGCCCATCCTCCCCCCCCACTTCTGGGCAGGCTCAGGAATTGAGTGCACAAGGGCCGGGCAGCCCCCTCCCTCCCCCAGGTCTGCTGCCCAAAGGGCTTGGGAGGCCAGCCAGGGACAGCCACACGCAGCACCTCCCTGCAACGGGGTCCCTGGCAGAAGGGGGTTTGTCCAGGCTCTGCTAGCCCCAGAGCAGAGCCAGGCGGGTTGGGGCCTCCCAGCAGGCCAGCTCCAGCCCCAGCACACTCACCATGGGGCACCGGGGTGGGCCCTGCCATCCGACGGCTGGCCTTCGGCTGCGGGCAGCTGCTTGGGAGCCGCCTCGTCCTCTCGCCACACACTGGCGCCCACCGTCTGGGCCATCAGCTGGAAGACGGAGCGGTTCAGGCTCAGCCAGCCGGAGGGCAGCCTGCAGAGAGGGCAGCAGTCAGGTCAGCGGAGCCGTGGGCACCGCAGCTTTGCCTGGGAATGTCCCCCCCCCCGGTGAAGCCCCCCAGCACGTCTTCTGCCAGCTGAGATGGCAGCTGCTCCCCAGTCACCCCGGCCCCTGCCATGAGCCACTGGGCAGCGCAGCCTCCCATCTGGCCCAGCCCAGGACCCGGGTGCCCACAAAACAAAACGGGGCAGCCCCAAACCAACAGTCGGCGTCTCCTGCAAAAATCCTCTCTCAGGGTGGGCCACAAGGGCCCCGCTGCCCTGCCCTGCCCGCAATTCAACAAGGGGGCGTTAGATACCAGGCCTCCCCTGCTGCAACCCTCCTGCTGTTAGAAAGGGCTGCGCAGGGGGGGGAGTCCCTGCTCACAGCCTGGAAGTCGGCCGTCCAGGCTGCCCCATGCCCAAAGCAATGCCGCCAAGGCAGAGCCAGCGCCCGACCGCCAGGGACCCCACCTGTTGGCCTGCTTGGGCTCCTTGGGCGCCTGGCGGGAACCGAAGAGGTGTGCCCACTTGGGCTGGCCGCTGCTGGGGACGCGGGGGATGGGTTCCTCCTTCCCTGGGGCCGCCGCCTGGTCCTGCTCCCTGCTGCGCTTCAGCTCCGCCAGCACGGCATCCGGGGGGGCTGCCCATCCAGAAGGGCCGGCCCTTCTCCTTGCCCTCCTCCCCGGCCAGAGGGCCTGGCTTCCAGGGCGGCTTGGCCTCCTCGGCCGGAAGCCTCTCCCTGACTGGGGGGGCTTCTGTGGGGGGGCAGGCCTCTGCGCCCTCCACCACCCCTTCTCTCGGGGGAGGGACCCTCCCGGCCCCCGCCCTCTTCCTGCGCTCCTGGTGGGCGAGGCGGGCACCTTCCGGGGAGCCCTGGATGTAGACCTGGGAGCTCTGGGTGAGCTGCAGCCACCAGCTGGCCTGCCTGTCCTTCTTCAGCTCCGGGGCCCCCTTGGGCTCCGCTGGTCTCTCCGGGGGGGTCGGGCCCCGGGAGCCCTCGCCAGCCCGCTGGGCGCCCCGGGTGCGCATGAGCTGCAGGGTGGAGTGGGCGGAGAGCAGCAGGCCCTGCTGGCCCCGCAGGAGCTCCTTCTGCCGCTGCTGCCACCTGCCCTCCTGCAGCAGGTGGTGCTCGAAGAGCAGGTCCAGGCCGAAGGGCAGCAGGGAGAGCGGCTGGAGCAGCAGGAGCAGCTCCTCCAAGAGGCCCTGGCAGGCCCCGTGCGCCAGCGGCAGGAAGCCCGTCGGCTGGTAGTGCGCCTGCAGCACATCTGGAGGGGCAGAAGGGCACCGTCAGTGGGGGCCCCCAGGCAGCTCAGCAGCTCAGAGCCCCAGCCAGGCCAGCCGAAGGGGGCTCCGGGCTGCCCAGCTCCACCTACCAAACCCCCCCCCATTCCATACTCCCCCTGCTGTGGAAGGGCCACCTTGCCCAGTGGCGTGGCAGCGGTCTGCCCGGCAAGAGCGGACGAGCCTCCTGAGGGCAGGGCCCCCGCCTGGGCAACACCCCAACCCGTCCCCAGCACACACGGCCCTCCCCCACTGCGGTCAGGAGCCAGGGACCTACCCTCGTGGTTGTAGAGGTGGTTGAACCAGAACTCCAGGGACCGGATGCTGTCGGGGGAGAAGGCAGAGAGAGGGTGAGGACAGGCAGGAGTGCCCAGGTGAGGAGAGGGTGAGGAACCGTTTGGGGACACAAGCCAGGCCTTGCTGGCCACAGGGTGCCAGGGTGAAGCTGCTGGCCTAGGAACCGGGAGGCGGTGAGTTCTAGTCTCGCCTGCCTGGGTGACTTTGGGCCTCCGCCTCCCCCCTCAGCCCAGCCCCCCTCACAGGGCTGTTGTTGTGGGGAAAACGGGGGGCAGGACTGCCAGGTATGTTTGCAGCCTTGATTTGGACTAAAAATATACGGAAAAACGACAGCAGGATAAGAATCCAAGGCTAGAAGAATAATTGGCACCAGGGCCTCAGCTGTGGGTGCACCTGGGCACTTGCTTCAGCATCGAGAGACCTGGGCCACACGGGAGCACAGAGTTCGTGGTGGCTCTGGATCCTGGCTGGAGGAGAAAGCGTCTCGTTTCACCTTTACGGAGCAAAGCTCCGTTTGAGCAAAAGCCCCTCCGAGGAGGGTCGGTCCGGCCCAAGGACAGTGGCGGCTCCCACAGCGTCCAGGAAAGCGGGAAACCTCGCTTGGGCCACCTCTCCCTACTTAGCGCCTGGACCACCAACGTCCCTGCGCTGCTGGCCTCCCTCCCCTGGGGCTACTGGCTGCTTCCCAGTTTCCCTTCCCTGCCACGGAGCCTCTCAGCCTTGCCCGTCGGTCGGTGGTGGGTCCTTTTGTCTGCCTGCCCACATTGGTCCAAAAACCCCCGTTTTCCGTTTTGGCCGGTGGCTGAAGGAGCCTCCTTCCTTCCCGGTGCTGCCTTTGCGCTCTGGCCACCCTCATTGGTGGACTTCACCTCCCCGAATTCCCTAGCCAGCAATGCCGGGTTCGGTGAGGGTCAGGGTGGGGCAGGCTGGGGGATCCCGGGGGTCGCTGAGGTTGAGCCACGCTGCTTCAGGAGGCCCCCTCCCTCCTGCTGCCTCCTTCCCAGGGGCAGAGCAGCGCCCCCCACACCCCTGGCCCTCCTGGCTCCGGCCGCAACAGGGCAGGGGGGGACGCAGCCCTGCTCACTTGAGGAGGCCGAAGATGAAGGCGTTGAAGCGCATGTTGTGGCTGGTGAGCTCCGGGTACTGGCTGACACGGCTGTAGAGGCTGTGCAGGACCTTCGTGGAGGGCCCTGCGGGAGAGGAGGGGGCGTCAGAAGGGGGCATGGGGGTCCCTTCAGGTGCACTTTCGAGCCAGTGTTCCCCTCCTGCTGCTCCCCACTGGCCCCGATGGGCAGCCGGTCCCTTTTAAGCAGCTGGAGGGCAGAGATTGACCCTCCTTTGCAGGCTCTCTGGCCCGCCCCCCCGCCTAGCAAGGCCCCAGGGGTCCCCCGGACCGCCCCCCCCCCCCCGATTCTTCCTCCGGGGCAGGCTCACACGCCATGCAGGCAAGGGCTGGCCGGTGCTGGGGGAGGGAGCCTGGGGCCCTCCCAGGGCGGGAGAAGACAGGGGGATCCTTGGGGGCCCAGACCGGAAGCCCCTACCCAGCTGCGTGGAGGCCTCCACAATGCTCCAGGGGACGTTCCGCCTCTGGCCAACAATCACGTCCAGCACGTAGGCCTTGAGCCCGTCACTCAGGACGTCCCGGATGGCCGGACACAGGTACTTCAGGACGAGATGCCCCACATTAGGGCTCACTGAGCTGTTCCCCAGTTTGGCCTGAAGAAGAGAGGACAGGTCACAGGGTGGGGGCCAGGCCTCCTCTCCCCCACCCCCAGCTCTCCCAGCACTCCCCTCCCCTTCCGACCTGCAGGCTTGGCAGAGACTTGAGCAGGAGGAACGCAGAAGGCGGTGGGGGGGGGGGGGGGGGGGGGGGGGCAAGGCCCCCCCCCCCCCTTTCAAAAGGGGAGACAAGGGAGCCCCCCCCCCAGACCTCCACAGCAGCAGCCGCTCCTCCCCACCCCTCTGCTTGGCTGGAGGCCCCCCAGCTCAGCTTGGGCTTTGGGGTGGCGCCGCTCTTGAAAGCCCCCGCCTCGGTCGTGCGCAGCCCCGTGGGGTCGGCCCCAGGGAGGGGTAGGAAAGGTTCCGGGGAAGGGGGGGGGGGGGGGGGGGGGGGGGGCAAGCTCTTGGCCCGACATTCTGGTCTGCTTGCCCACCAGCCCTCAAAGGCAGGCCGCACCCAACCACAGAATCTTGTAGCCAGGAGTCAACAGGCCCACCTGAGTTTCCTCACCACCCGCTCGTCCTTCTCGGGGCTGATGCGTCCGTCTTTCCTAAGGCCACCCCACTTCCTGCCACCCTCAACTGTCCCAAAGTGGCAGAGGCCCCGGCGATGCCCATGAGGTGGACATGCCTTAAAGGGCCATTGCAGGGAAGGCCTCGCGCTGGATCGATGGAGGCGCTGAAGGGAGAGGAGACCAAGAGGAAAGCCAGCTCACCTTCACTCCGGGATCCCTGCTGGTCCCAAAATGGGCCACAATGAGGTCCACGGACATGTTGATCGCTTTGATGAGACCTGGTGGGCAGAAGAGACGAGGCTGCGCTTGGCCCTCACCCATAGCCCCTCCTTCCCATCCAGGCCTCTGGGGGGCCTGTTCTGGCTCCAGACATTTGGGGTGGGGGCTCTTCTGTGTCAAATGAGCCCTACTCTCTTCCTCTCAGGCCATCCCGGGGAGCGGGGCTGAAAGTGCAGAGCAGCTGAGGGACCCTAAAGACCCCCGTCTCCCTTTCTCCGAAGACCCCTCCCTCCAGGGGGCTTGCCCTGCCTAACAGCCACATGTTTGAACTAGGGTCACATCTGGGGGTCTTCGGAAACAGCTGGGGGGTCGGAGCCCTCTTTCCTGACTGCACCAGGTTCCTTCCCTGCCTGGGTCCCTTCCCCACAAGCCCCCTCAAAAGACGGCTCCGCTCTGGGCAATGACCCTCCGCAAGGGGAGCCCGGCTGCCAAGGTTGGAGGGCACCATGGCCTCCTCTGCAAGGGGAGCCGAGCCTTCCTCACTGCCCTCCATCCTCTACCTCCATCCTCTACCTGAGCGCCCCCCAGGAAAGCCCCCTTAGTGCATATGGGAGTGCCCCCCGCCCCCCGACTGACCCCTCTTCTGCAGCAGATCCACGGAGATGGACTCGGTGTTGCCGTCCGGGGAGAGGCAGAACTCGGCCGGTGGCTTCTCGGCCAAGGAGAAACAGTCGGGGAAGAAGTCAGGGAAGCTTTGGAGTGGCTCTTTCACCGCCGGTCCTGCAGGACATGGGGGGGGGGGAGAAGGGGGGCACGGCAGACCCACCTGGTTACTTGATGGGGCTCTGGGGCCGCCCCACTCCACACCGTCTCTGGGCAGCCATGGAAGCAAAGACTCCAGAGAGACCCCAGGCTGGGGAAGGGAGCAAGTGAGGGGCAGGGGGCGCTGCAGGCCCCCCCTTCTGGGGAGCCCCCATGGCCTCGGGGCCCCTTAGGAGCCTTTCCTTGGGCTGGCCAGCCAGGGGAGCCCGCAAGGGCCCAGGCGCACCGTGGAGTCTGGGTCTGGAGTGGCCCGCCGGCATCTCCAGCAGAGGGTTCCTCCAGGGCGGCTTGCTCTCCGGCTGCTTCCAGTCCAGGTGGCCGGTCAGTCCTGCCAGGTCCGAGATGTGGTCCAGCCCCAAGGGGTTCCTCCGCCGGTACTCCCGCCACTTCAGGGCTTGCAGGGAGAGGTGGTTGGCTGTGGCCGCAGCAGCCGAAGCCCCGGAGGAGGAGACAGAGACAGGCCACCCTGAGCAGCAGCGGCATTTGAGATGGGGCACCGTCCCCCGTCCCCCCCCCGGCCAGCACCTCATGGTGTAGGTGAGATGGGTGCGTGTGTGTGAAGGAGGCCCTGAGGTCAGGCTGCCTGCCTCCCCAGCAGAGGCCTCCCCCCTCCCCCACTTTGCCTCGGGTGAAAGGGCGATTCAGGGGTCACTCAGCACCCGGCACGTCTGCATGGCCCCCACAGGGTGGCTGGTCCCCCGGGGAGCCTCCTCCCCCCTTGGCCCTGCCCAGGAAGGGCAGGGAGGCCAAGCGCCTGGGGGCCATTCAGGGCTCCCTAGGGACCCAGCTGGGGACGGATGAACTTTCAGGCGCCCTAAAACAAAAAAAAACCCCGCCCCCCCCATTTATTTACCTGTAGCATACACACACACACACACACACACACACTCCGGGCATGCAAAGTGAAGCCTTTCCCTGCAATGCCCACCTACCGTTGAGGGCCCGGGGGATGCCACCACCCAAGGAGTTGAAACTGGCAGCCTCGCTGCACCCCATCTTCCAGTGGGGTTCACTGTGGCTCTCCGCTCTGGCCAGGCTCCAGCCACCGGACGACAACAATGGCTGGAGGGAGCCAACGGGGAGCCGGTCCTTGGCCAGGGGTGCAGGGGGGCCGGGGGGTTCCTTCTTCTTGGCCACCAGCGAGGGGCTCTTGCTCTGCTTGTGCAGGACCCCGGCCCCCGGGGCCTCCTGGGTGGCACAGCTGGCAGCAGCTGGAGAAGCTTTGGTGCTGGGCAGGAGGTTGGCAGAGACCGGACAGGACTTGCTGCGGGGGGGCTGCGTCTCCGGGGTGGGCGAGCAGGAGGAGGGCTCCCCCCCACTTTGGAAGAAAGGCACGTGGTGGCGCACCGGAGAGTAACTGCCCAGCGGGGACAGGCGGGTGGTCTCTGGCCCCGGCCCCCTCTTGGCATGACCGTCGCCCAGGGAAACCGCCCCGTCGGCAGAACGCTGGCCGTGCCCCACAGGCCCCTCGGTGGAGGTGGAGGACTGGGAAGCAGAGGAGGGGAGTCGGCTGGCCGGGCGAGCGGCCGTGGCAGCCGAGAGGCTGTAGAGCTGGGAGAGGCTGGAGGCCAAGTGGCTGTGCAGGGCCCGGCCCTTCGTTGGCTTGGGGAAGTGGTGCTGGAAGACGAAGGGCTGGATGGGCAAGGTGGTCGGGCGCTGGTCCTTGCTGTAGCGCACCACCTTGCTATCCGCTGCGCCACCTGCAGGAGGGAAGGAGAGACGGCGGAGGAAAGCGGCACAGCGAGCCCAGACCTCTGCACAGCTTGGCCTGGTGGGCTGGTGTTCTTGGATGGTGGGGGCACAGGAGGAAAGGCAGCCCCGCCCCCCCCAGGCCAGCAGGGTACGCCCTCCCTAAGGCCTCTCCCCCAGACCCTGCCAGGTAGGGAGACCCCTGGTTGGTTATTCCCCATCATGACCAAGTTGGCACAACCCGCTAGCCAGCTCAGGATGCTGGGGGGGGGGGGGGGGGTTGGGGGAAGAGGGTTAAGACTGGCTTAAGCTGTGCCCAAACTGGAATTTCCATTCAGAAGGATAGTTCGGGGCTTGAGGGGTGGCTGGGGGGAGCTCCCTCAAAGTCCCCCCTTTGGTGCTTCTCAAGACTGGGCCGGGCCACGATCCCTTCCCTCCCTCTTCCCAGGCAGGCTTGCCAACCACCCACCTGCCAAGCTGTCTTCCCCTCTTTGTGAGGAGGCATCCTCAGCCAACAGGGTGCCAAGGTGCTTTCCGCTGCCACAAGTCAAGCAGGTTGGCAAGAGGACCTTAATTTCGGAACCCCTGCCCTCCCCCAGCCCCTCCCAAGTTCCCAGCAGGCCTAGGCTGTGCGTTGAGTTGTGTTTCTTAAATTGGAGATCTCTGCATTTGCCCTGTTAGCTTTCCTCAAATTGGCTTGAGTTTTCATTCTGTGGCCCAGGATGTCAGTTTTTTTTCATCCAAATTCAAACAATTCATTTTAAATTAAATAAAAAAATATGGACATTTTTCTGAATTTCCCCTATCATCGCTTTCAAAACGTAGACTTGTGCTTTCTAATTTTTTTATCCTGTTCTCAGACAAGAAACCTTTAGAGGCTTCCTGCCTACACAATGATTCCAGCCACTCTACAGTGTTAAATTTTTCAACTTTCCATTTCCAAATATCAGGGGTACTCAAAAGTTGTGACATGCCGGGGACTTCCGGTTGCAAGGCTTCGGCGGCGGCAGGAATCCGCGACTCTGCGGGTCCCTGCTGCGCTCGCTGCTGAAGTACCCCCGATCCAATTGGATTTGGGGGTTGTCGCTACCCCGGAGAGGTAGCGGAAGATAGAGGAGATCCGGGCAGGGGTCTGGGGACATTGCAACCCCTTTCCCCAGCCGGCTAGACTCCTTTTTCCTGAGGCGGTGGAGCGGCTGTCAGTAATGGCAGCCACAAAGAGATCTTCAACCGGACAAGATTTGTGCAGGAGGAAGAAGTAGAAAGAGAAAGTTTTTTGGCTGAACCGGGACATTAAGATACATTTAAACACCCTGGAAATCTGACTCTTTGATTGATACATTTGTTTCCAAAAGAGGTTATCAAAGCGGCGGATGAAAGTGCCGAAGGGAAAGTTTACTCCCCTTCCTTACGGAGATAGCAAACGGACATTGAAAAACCTGCTTTTTTACAGAAGGTAAAAATAAGCTCTTTGTTATAAGTGGGAAGGGAGAGGACTAAAAAAACCTTTAAGAACTTGTTGGAGGAGACGCCTTGAAGATTATAAGACCAGAAATTAACTGTAATTAGGCTTTAAAATATATTTTGGGATTTTGCCCCAGGAGGAGAAAGTGCAAAGAGAAGAAGAGGAAATATTTTGTGTCTGTTTGGATTGTTTGATAACTGGAACGCTTGGAAATTACTTTAAGATTAAAAACATTTGGGTTGTTCTTAAAAAAAAAAAGAAGAAGAAAAAGCTTTACAATGGCACTATCTGTGGATGAATTAAAAATGGAATATGAAAAATTAAAGGAAGGAGAACAAGAAGGCAAGGATTCTTTGGGAGCTGTCTTCCACTTTTTAGAAATGGTGATTTCTACTTATCAGCAACTACATGGGGAAGAAGGAGAAGAAGAAGAGGAAGAAGCCATCTTTAATGGACAAAAAAGTTCAACTAAGAAAGAAAATAGGAAAAGGGGAAGGAAAATTGAGAAGTTAAGATTTAACAAAACAACCAAGAAAGAGAAAAATAAGGTGAAAAAAAGGTACAATGTTAGAAAGCAACAGAAAAGAGAAATACAACAGAGAGGGGAAGTTAAAAGACGGAGGGGAGGGGGGGGGGGGGGGGCCAAAAAGGTCAGACAGGAGAAGAATGGGAGGGAAAAAAAGCCATAAAGGCTTGAAACAAGATGCCAAAAAGCAGATCTTTTTCAGAGATAAAGGGTAAAGCATAATTAAAGAAAGATTCTGCAAGAGTACATAAGATACCGTGTTTCTCCAACAATACGGCCTCCACCAATAGGAAGACCCAGCATGTTTTCTAGGCATAAAATCAAATTAAGCCCCTCCCCCCAAATTTAGGCCTAGTTTAAAACATGTAAAATAGGGGGAAGGGTGGGGGGACTTGCCATTTGGAGTGCCATTGGAGCTGCCACCGCCGTTTGGAGTGCCGTTGGAGCTGCTGCCGCCGTTTGGAGCTGCCTCTGCCGTTTGGAGCCGCCGCCGCCATTTGGAGTGCCGTTGGAGCTGCCTCTGCCGTTTGGAGCTGCCTCTGCCATTTGGAGCCGCCTCTGCCGTTTGAAGCTGCCGCTTCCGCGTTTGGAGCACTGCCGCTGTTTGGAGCACCACCGCCACTCCAAACACGGCGGCAGCTCCAAACACGGAAGCAGCAGCTCCAAACGTGACGGCGGCACTCCAAACGGCAGCGGCAGCTCC